AAAAAATTTCGTCTAAAATCTATCTATAAATAATTCATTTGAAATATTAGTTTTAACATTTACAAAAAAGGGAAATTATTATATTTTACAGTAAAACTTCTTTAAGACGATTTTCCAAAAAAACGGATAAAAATGCCTCTTGAGATGGAAAGCGTATTATACGAGATTGGGACAATATGTTTCAAAGTGCAAGAACCAGCATATTATTCTGAAAGTCTTTCTAATAATGATCGTTTTAACGGGGATCTACTAGTTATTTTTTATTAATTATATTTATAAAATTATAAAATTTAATTTAAATTTTAAATTCATCATTATTATTTAAAGCAATGGATTTAGTTTCAATTATCACACAGTGATTTGAATATTTATTGCTCAATGATTTTTCTCTACAATTATGTATTTTGAAACTTATTATTTCACAAATTTTAAATTAATTATACCCGAAGTATTTTTTGTTTAATTGTTTAGTTTATACTAGTAAGAAAAGCTTAAGTTATAACAAGTATATTTTTATTCATAAATGTATAAATATTCAATATAACAATTTGATAAAATTATAAACGATACAAGGTTTTCACTTCGATTTAAGATAATTTTTTATATATGATATGTGGCGTTCCTCTTGTTGTATAATATTGCAATAAATATACGTATTTTAATTAAATTATAATTAAAATTTAAACATTAATTTTAATATCTATATCCTCTTGGCACGATATCGGCGCTTATTCAATATTATATAATATACAAATAAACATAAATAGAATGTTTTACTACTGACAAAAGATGATATACCGTTTACCAAAGAATTTTACAAACTCTACTTAAATATTGTTGAATCTGTAATTTCTTTGGAATAATAATCATATATAATGTATAAAATAAATAATTTATTATCAAACCATCAATTTGCTATCAGTGATGTGTTAATCAAACTCCAGCTTCAAACTTTCCTTTTGCTGTAAATTAGTTTTGGATGATTCTTTGCTTTTTGGTAATTCTTTCAGAACAGCTGATTCTCTGAGCCATTCGCAGTATTTAGTTTCAATTTCTGCACGTTGTTCCCTGTGCATGACCTAAGTAAAAAAATATAAATTTTAGTAAAAAAACTTATAAACAACTCCTAAATTTTTTCCTAATTAAAAATAAAGATCGTCATATAATAATTTGCTCCATACATATATATGAATCGTAGTATTTAGTTTAAAAACTTGAATAATAGAAAACCGTTTAAAAACTTGATCTTATAAGAAACCACAATTAAATATTGATCTCCAATAATAAATATTTATAATATAATTACTCCTTTTAATTGCTTATCGTTTCAAGCTTCAACGAACTTATTGCAAAACTTTTGCTGTAATATTTGCTAATTTCTTCTGAGTTGATATTGCAAAATCTTACACAGCAGTTTACCAACACTGTATAGGAAATAAAAGAGCAAGCTGCATTTTAAAGCAGTTCTGCAGTTTATTTACAAATAGACAAATCAATGAAATAAAAACTAATAATGATAAATATTGCAAATATAATTTGCTGAAAACAAAGTTATAAGATTTAAAAAATTATTATATTTAAAATAAATTAGATTTATGGGGTCATTTCTGCACTAGTCTTTGCCTTGTGTAAATTGTAATAAATTATTGCACTAATTGGTTTTTATTTATTGCATTTTGAAATAATATTTACATCAATAAATTTAAAAAAATTAAATAAAGGTAAGTTCTGCTTAATTTTGTTTTTATATTATTAACATCAAAACTTAGTAGTCCTAAAGATTTGATGTGATGACTTCTTAATGAGGTAGGCTTTATAGATGACATGACGGTTGACCTATTTATTTATGATAATTTATTAGAATAACACTGATGACTTTTTATAGAATAGAGCAATGCCACTACAAGGGCTATTTTCATTCACAAACAGATTATTGTCCAAAAATGTTTTAATGTGACTTTAACTGAAGTGGAAATACTGAACGTGGTTGATCTTATAAAAACATTATAATACTATTGGAAGGTACTATGAATACGGGTGTATATTTCGTAAAACTTATAGAATATTTTTTTAAATAATTACTAAATAATGTAACTTTATTATCCCTTACCGCTACTTCGGGCAGAGAGCCACCATAATCAGAAGGTAAAAGTTTCAGAGGCAGAACAGACTCCGGACCTTCGCTAATGAAAGTAAGAAGTCCCATCAGCTCGGATCTTATAAGAGGTTTGACCAATGTCATTATCTGGTTGATCAGGGAAGATGTATTTACAACCATAATTTTTTTTAGGCGTGCAGGATGCGCTTCTTGGATGTACTGCATAAAGTGGCGTAGAGGTCCAAATGAAACACGCATTAAATGACTGAGACGAAAGCCTTTCATGTCGAATATGACGACATACCCATCTGCTAAACCTAGTTCAGAAAAAAATCAACAATTAACAAATAATAATTAATTTAATTATTAGGAAAACAGCAATTAGTCAATCAAGTGTAAAATAATTCTATCAAACTATAAGGTGGAGTTAGGTAAAATTTTATTTCACATAACAAGTATGTAAGACAAACAATGTGATCACAATAGATTGTTTTTACATGTAGTTTTTACAGCAATCAGAACTATTATGGGTTCTATAAGCTGTTCTAAACACTGCTTATTACTAAGACGTTGATTGTGGTCTGTAGGCATCCCATTGATTAACCTTACTCTATCTGAGGTATAGTTTTTAATTTTTATACTGAACGCTATTAGAAGACAACCCCCCAGGTCGTCACTCTAATTGGGATATTGTAG